TTCCAGAGGTGGTCTGAACATTATTAAGTATGGAATTACATAATTCCATATTAGATATGAGTTAGGTCTTGGAATGGTATTTTCTAAGGGAGCATGGGTTTCCAAAAGAACAGATGTGGGCAGAAACCTGTTTGGCTCAGTGGATAGAGCATTGGTCTGCGGACTGAAAGGTCCCAGGTTTGATTCTAGGCAAGGGCATGTACATTGGTTGCAGACACATCCCCAGTATTGGGTGTGCAGGAGGTAGCTGGTCGATGTTTCTCTCATCGATGTTTCTTTTCTTTTTTTAAAATACATTTTATTGATTTTTAACAGAGAGAAAGGGAGAGAGATAGAGAGCTAGAAACGTCGATGAGAGAGAAACATCGACCAGCTACCTCTTGCACACCCCCTACCGGGGATGTGCCCGCAACCAAGGTACATGCCCTTGACCAGAATCGAACCTGGGACCTTTCAGTCCGCAGACCAACGCTCTACCACTGAGCCAAACTGGCTTTGGCTCATCGATGTTTCTAACTCTCTATCTCTCTCCCTTCCTCTCTGTAAAAAAAAAAAAAAATCAATAAAATATGTATTTTAAAAAAAACAGGTGTGGAAATAGGAGGAATAAGAATGGATTGGAAAAGGATTACAAAATGAGACACCATCATCTATATGATGGTGAGACTGGCTCTCATGTCCCAATGGACCTGCACACCTCACAGGCACAGCATAGCTTAGAACTGGGGCTGCGATGGAAAAAGTTAATTTGATATGCCAGTTGGGATATTCTTTAGCTCCTTAATATCCACTACAGCTGACTTGGATATGATACAAAACTTGGAGTGTCTCACAATGTTTACCTGTTATAATAGAGAACCAGACATGCATGAATAATTGAACAGCATAATGTAAAACCTCTTGAGTCACTGGTTTCTTATCCTCCACAGACCTTTTGCCTTTCTACTCACTCCCTAAGCATGAGTGAATATGGTGGTGTCCTTTCATGTACCTTATCTCTATATTTTAAGTACCATGAGGGTAGAGACGTAGTTTTTTTGCTTTTGTTTTTTGCCCTAAGTAGTATGCACAGTACCTTGCCAATAGAAGGCATTTGGTTGATTAAAAAGCAACAAAAACAAGACAGATAATCCACAAGCTTGAGGTCCAGATTTTAAGAAATCATTTTGAGTGAAGTCTCATAAAAGCACTAGAAAGGTATTTCTTTCCACCTCTCCGGGCCTCCCTATTTCTGGGCAATGTACAGGCCCATGAACCCTGCCTAGTCAGCAATCCTGGAAAAAAAAATGTTGAGCTAGTATTGGTCAAGGTGAAAGCAGTAGGTCAAGATGGACACAAGCAAGGCAGAAGAAAAGGCTTTATTTTTGTAAGAAGGAAATCATGAAAGTTATATTTATAACTTCGTGTAACTTTTTAAAAAATATATACCTTTATTGATTTCAGAGAGGGAAAGAGAGAGAAACATCAGTGATGAGAGAGAATCATTGATCAGCTGCCTCCTGTACATCCCCTAATGGGGATCAAGCTTGCAACGCAGGCATGTGCCCTTGACCGGAGACTCTTCAGTCTGCAGGCTGACACTATCCACTGAGCCAAACCAGCTAGGGCAGTTTGTAAAACTTTTTTTTTTGTATAACTCTTGACAAAATTTTTACCAAAGCCCTGAAACTTTTATTAATTTTTTATTTTATTTTATTGATTTCAGAGGAAGGAAGAAGGAGGGAGGGATAGGAACATCAATCATGAGAGAATCACGCCCCACACTGGGGATTGAACCCACAACCTGGGCGTGTGCCCTGACAGGAAGTCAAACCATGACCTGCTGGTTCATGGGTTGTCACTCAACCATTGAGTCACGCTGGCAGGCAAAACTTTATTTTTTAAATCCTCACTCAAAGATATGCTTACTGATTCCCTGACTGGGAATGGAACTGCAACCTTTTAGTGCATGGATATGACACTCTGAATGATGCTCCAACCAAGGGCATTTCTCCTAAAATGCCTCTCAAACCTTCCCCCCCCCCCCCCCCCCATTCTCCAAACTCGTCCAAGTTTCATCTGGGAAACCCTTAGCTTTCCCACCCATTCTAATCCCCACTCCATGCCTCTCAGGGGTCATATTTCTAAAGCAAAATTTTAACCAAGTCATTATCCTTCTTAAAAACTGTCCTCGATTCCTCATTTTCTGGACTTTTTGCAGCTTTATCTTTAATATCTTATCATCCAAATGCCTAAGACTACATACATTATTTTCCCCCCACATGTTTATTCTTGTTGTTCCCACTTCTTAAATTTCTTTGCCATCGCTGCCTGCTAAAATATAACCATCAAATGTCTCTCTTCTAGGAAGCCTTCCTTCATCTCTCCCCATTTTGAATTAATCTCTCCTTTGTGCTCAGTATTTTATAGGTCTGCCTCTTAGGATAATCTTATTTCTATGTATCCCCTTCTTGTTTTGAACTTGAAGGCATGGCTCATACTATATTCTTCTCTGTGTTCCCTGCAGTGCCTAGCACACAGACATGTTAATTTTAATATATCAACTATAGTGTAGTTTATCTCCCAACCAGTTAAAAGAAGAAATCAAACTGGTAGCAAAAATGGGTGGTGGTGGGAAACAGAAATTGGATAAGGGCAACTGAGGGAGAGAACTTAGTGTTACATTAGGAAGATAGCTGGTTTCTGATCAAAATCAGCTGCTGAAGATCATTTGTCAATTATGTCATTCACACATTAATGGGATATTAATTATACCGGGTCCTTGATGTCCTTGCTGTGATCTGGAACAATGGCTACTGAAGGTCACCAAGGACAGAAGGGGAAAGTATTATATAAGGAAACTATGAACATGAGGTAAGCTTTCGGACTTGTCCTATGTGATACACTTGCATGTAACCTAAGTGAATCGGTGATAAAATGCAACAATAAAAAAGCACCTTGTTGTAGGCCCAGGAGATGAAATGGTGCCAAAAACCAACACCCCCACCCACCTGGAGCACAGGCAGTGCATCTGCTGAAACTAAGCAGCACCTGGGGCTGAGTTTGAGCGGGTCCTAGTGGGAATGCTAAGAGGGCTATGAGGTTTCCAGCCTTGACTTCATCTGGGCAATTTTTGCCTCCTAAAATTTTAAATTCTCCATCAACAGTGGCTATCTGACTGTGAAGTAGTCTCAATGGTGAAAGTCCTGCATCAAAAGAATCCCAAGACTTGGGGAACGAAGTGGGTATCTGAATAAGAAATAGAAAATAAGGAGGGTCTGTCAAACAGCAAGCAAATCTTTGGTGATTCAGAAGGATAATCCTCATAGCCAAGACTGCAAGCCTGTGCCCCCAGCTGGGGGAGGTAGGTGTCAGGACAGAATTCCCATTTGGCACTCTAGGGCCTGGACATTTGTGTAGGGATCTCAGAATCTCTGTCTCTGACTACTTTTCATGGGGTTGGAAGACACTCGGCAAGTTATCTTGAAGCCCAATAGGCCCTGCCAAAGCAAGCCACTCACTTTGTTTCCCACCATACCAGTCCAGTACTGATGCTCTGTGATTTTCTTGGGGTGCTCTTCTGCCTGCAATATTCTTCCTTCACCCCGTATTCACTGAAATTCACATGCATATCTTTTTGAAGCAGTACTTGACCAAAAAGTGAAAATAAAGTGATTGATCATGTAGAATTTTACACAATCAATTGGTTAATTTTTTATTCAATTTCCTTTGATGACTGTTCCAAACTGTCCCCAGACTTCACTCTTTCTGCCAAATGTAAACAGAGTGAACAAATGGTAACTGTAGTGGAAAGAGCACAGGCTTTGGAATTAGGCCAATTACAAATTCTAGCTCTGACACTCAAGTGATAGGACTGCAGCCAAGACATTTAACTTCTCTGAGCCTTAGTTTTTTTCAAATGGAGACAAATGTTAACTGGAATTATTGTGATGATCATTTTGCACCATACACAAATATAAAATCATATTGTACACCTAAAATTAATATGTCCATTAAACCTCAATAAAAAAATGACAAAAGATTGGGATACTATTTTATTTATTTTAAATTTATTTTTATATATTTTATTGATTTTTTTTGTTTTTACAGAGAGGAAGGGAGAAGGATAGAGAGTTAGAAACATTGATCAGCTGCCTCCTGCACACCCCCTACTGGGAATGTGCCCGCAAGCAAGGTACATGCCCTTGACCAGAATCGAACCTGGGACCCTGGAGTCCAAAGGCTGATGCTCTAACCACTGAGCCAAACCGGATAGGGCATTACCTGTTTTATAAGGATTGTTATGAGGTTTCAACAAGAAAGTTTATGTAAATTAGTGTATAGGAAAAGTGATCAATGTCGAAGGCTGGAGGGAACAGGACATAAAAACATAGGACTGTAATGCATTCAACAAGAGGTTGAATCAGTTAATTTGTAAGGTTCTAGGTTAGTTGCAGTGAGGGATACAAAAGAAATGACTTCCATTTATAATGAAAATACAATCTGTCTAATATAGATTAAAGTAATTTATTTTGACAATGTCACGTTATTTAATAAGAACATTTTACCATTCATTGCATTTTTGTTTACAAAGCTCTCTAAGACGGTGAAGATTACTCTTATAATTGTAGCTCTTAACACAGTATTATAATAATAAAGCAGAAATATAATCTTAGTCACAACCCCAGTGCACTGAACTTCTGTTTTCCTTCCCAAGACTTTTCCTTATAGGATGATGGATACACTAACATCTTGCTATGCTGCTTAGTAGCTTCAGTTATTCCTGTCTTATGAAAGAGGAAGCAGGTTTAGAAATGTCAGATGCAAGGGCAAGGGAAGGAATTTAATCCAGATCATTTAACTTCATTTAAGGCTTATTGTTACCCCAATAACAGAGAGGTAAACCATATTTTAAAGCGTATACTAGGTGTGTAGGAATTCTGGTTCAAATGCTTAGATGAAGCCTGTTTTCAGGAGTCATTCCACTACCTTTATTGTGGGCATTGGGCCTTTCTTTACCTCTTCCTTCTCCCCTTTCCAGTTCTCACTTTTTTCTTTCCTGTTTTCCTGTCTTGACCTGATCCTCCTAGCCTTCTGTCCAAGGCTGGATCACACCTTCTTTTTCCTTTTAAAGCATTCTGAACATTATAGGATCACTTATTCAACGACAAATTATTGAGCACCGACTGTAACACATACCAGTGGTAGTAGGTGCTGGCAACACAATGAAGATCTTACATGAATCACAAATCACTCCAATGGCATTTACATTTTCTCTTTTTGCCTCTCCTGGGAATCTTAGCTTTTAGATAAATGCCACAGTTCCTACTCCCTTAGCATACGCTTGAGTCTCAAACACGTTATACAATGCAACTCGGAGCCACCCCAAGGACGCCGGTTCGAGACCCAACCCAACCCAACTTGAACTCCAACTCGAAATTTCCGGAAGGGAAATCAAGATCAGAAATGAACCGAAACCGGTTTGGCTCAGCGGATAGAGCTTGGGCCTGAGGACTGAAAGGTCCCAGGTTCGATTCTGGTCAGGGGCATGTACCTTGGTTGCGGGCGCATCCCCAGTAGGGGGTGTGCAAGAGGCAGCTGATCCATGATTCTCTCTCATGGATGTTTCTAACTCTCTATCCCTCTCTCTTCCTCTCTGTAAAAAAAATCAATAAAATATATTAAAAAAAAAAAAAGATCAGAAATGGCATTTTCAGGGCGTTCCCTCGAGCCAACTTCCGCCCACCCCGTACCAACGCAGAGAAACTTCCGTAGCGGAGGCCTTAGGAACATTCAGGGAAGACATCCTACGTCTGATTTCTCAACGAGACATTTAATTTTTTGTTTATCTGGGGAGGCGGAGATTTTTGTAAAGGGACAGGAAGAAAAACAACCGGTTGTTATGACAATCAAACGTCCGGAAAGCTCAGCCAATCAGCACGCGGCAGTGCCTCCCGCTTAGCCAATGGGAAGAGCGCACGGCCGCCCAATGGGGCCGCGAGCGGCGCGGCATTTGAATCCTGGAACAGGGCGACCTCGAAGGTCCCCGCGCTGCGGGCTCCGAGTGCGGACCTAACGGCGCCGCGGACCCTGAGCCCCCGTCCCCATCGCGTCCCTCCTCGGGCGGCCGCACGCCTGCCCGCCCGCTCCGTCATGGCGCTGCTCCGACGCCCGGCGGTGAGTGAGCCCGGCCAACAGCCCGGGCCGCGGGCCTGGCCCGCGCAGGCCCCTCTCGGCCGCCTCTCGCTTCTCCCCCCAGCTCCGAGCTGCTGGGGAATAGGACGTCCCAACCGACCTCCCGTTTTCCTCTTTTTCCGGCCCCCCACTTCCCCTCCTTCTAACCCCCAGCTTTCCCCCATCCTCTGGAGACCCGCTTCCCCGCAGCCTGTCCCGTTTGGCCGGCCTCCCCGGGCCTGGGTTCCGCCGGCCGGTTCCCCGCCCCGGCGGGCCTCTGAGCTGGGGAGGGGGTGGGAAGTCCAGGCAAACCCCGGGAGTTGGCCCCTGTGAAGCCAGGATGGAGCTGGGCCTGGGACCCTGGGAGCCATCCGAGTAATCTTTGTCGTTAGAGAGCCATCAGATAGCTGCTATTTGGACACCCGCCTCCTGGGGTTTCCTTCCTCTGTTCGCAGGCGCCTTACCAGCTGAGATCCGCGGTGGGGATGGGGAGAAGGACGGGAAGGAATTCCCGTGGTCAGTAAGATGTTCTCAATGTTTGAGCAAGCTTGACCTCATTTATTTCATCTTTGCAAAAACCAAAGTGTGAACTGTGTTTTGGATATTTTCCCTGCGGGCTTGAATTGTACTGGGATCTACTTTTTTCCTTTGCTGCCGAGTTCCAACTTCCTGGCTGTAAGGCTGGTTTTAAAAAGTTGGGTAGAAATTTAATGGCATTACCAGGCTTCTACCTATAAGCATGAAACTTTCAAACACTTTAAAAAGTTGGCTATTAACCCTAGCTGGTTTGGCTCAGTGGATAGAGCGTCAGCCTGTGGACTGAAGGGTCCCAGGTTGGGTTCCAGTCAAGGGCGCAAGCCTGGGTTGCAGGCTTGATCCCCAGGAGGGGGCATGCAAGAGGTAACCAATCAATGATTCTCATCATTGATGTTTCTGTCTCCCTTCCTCTCTGAAATCAATAAAAATATATATTTTTAAAGAAGTTGGCTTTTACTGTTAGAAAAATTGAACAGTATAATTTACGCCCCCCCCCCCCACATGTTTTTATTGATTTCAGAGAAATAGGGAGAGGGATAGAAACATCAATGATAAGATAGAGGGATAGAAACATCAATGATAAGAATCATTGATTGGCTGGCTGCCTTCTGCACACCACCTACTGAGGATGGAGCTGGAAACCCTGTGTGTGCCCTGACTGGAATCCAAATGTGAAAACATGGTTCATGGGTCAGTACTCAGCCATTGAGCCACACTGTTGGGGTTGAACAGTATGACTTTTGAGAATCCTATTAAGTTGAATACATTCTGTTTTTACTTCTTACCCTTTTGTGATTGAAGTTTAACTGACAAGTATTTTTTTGTCTAATCTACCTCATAAAGTTCTTTTATAGTCAAACTAGAGGCCCGGTACACGAAATTCATGCACAGGGTGGGGGGTCCCCTTAGCCTAGCCTGCACCCTCTTCAATCCTGGACCCCTAGGAGGATGTCTGACTGCTGGTCTACAGTCGGACATCCCTCTCACAGTCTTGGACTGCTGGGTCCTAATTGTTCACTTGCCTGCCTGCCTGGTTGCCCCGACTGCACCCTCCACCCCTGCCAGCCTGGTAACCCCTAACTGCCCCCCCCCCCCAGCCTAGTTGCTCCAAATGTCCCCCCTTCCCCCCCGCCAGCCTAATCTCCCAAGTGCCCCCCCCCCCCTGTTTGCCCCTCACGGCCCCCTGCTGGCCTGGTTTGCCCCATGCACCCTGCTTGTTCAGTGGTTTGGTTGTCCCTTGGGCTGGCCCTGTAGCTGGGGGGCTGAGGGGACTGGGTGCAGCCATCTTTGAGGGCTTGACAGTTAATTAGCATATTCCCTCATTGGCTCTGGGTGCTGCCATCTTTGTGAGGGTGTGATGGTCCATTAGCATATCCCCTCTTTATTAGATAGAATTCTTTTTATCTAGCTGGGCTTGAGTTTTCCCTTGCCCCTTCTGTCCTGGTAGGCCCATTTAACCCCCCTGTTGGGAGGTTCTTTAAGATTAGGACTCCCAATTTCTGGGGAATAGGACGTGTTGTCTTTTTCCTGTGACACGCTTTTTATCTCTATAATAAAATTAAGTTTCTTGGGTATGAATTGCTTTTCCTAGCAGGTTTTGTTTCTAAGCACATTTTTATCTAAAACAGGTTAAGGCCAACTAACAATTGTTATTTCATGTAATTCCCACTTTATCTGAATTTCAGAGTAAAACTATTTTACCCATAAAAACTACTTTTTTTCTAAGTAACTTTAACATAAGAGAAAGTCCATGCTATGGTAACCTCATTTAAAGTCCATGCTATGGTAATCTCAATTGTTCCCCCCTCATTTTAAAAGGCTGTGTATCCACAAGATCATGTCTACACAAGCATGTCTTATTTCTAGAGTGGTATTCGAATCAAAGCTAGAGTAGCTTTTAAACAGCCTATTATAACTTAAAAAAAAATCCTCACTGGAGGATGTGTTTTTATGGATTTTTAGAGAGGAAAAGAGAGAGGGGGGGCGGGAGGAGAGGGAGAGGGGAGGAGGAGAGGGAGAGAGGGGAAGAGAATCATTGATCAGTTGCCTCCTGTATGTACTCTCACTGGGGATTGAACCTGCAGCCTTTTGATGTACAGGACAATACTCCAACTGAGCCACCCAGCCAGGCTTGCTATAACTTTTAATATTGTGCCTTAATTGCACTTGTGACTTATCTGTCTAAAGCACATGTGTCAAACACAAGGCCCGCGGGCCAAATCCGTCCCGCCAGGCCTTGCAATGTGGCCCGCACCGCGCTGTCATCACTGCACTCCGCTGCGTTTCCATCACAATGACAGTTTATGACTGTTCAGTAAACCATTCGGCCCACGATTTAGGCTGGATTTTAGATTTTGGCCCCTTCTCTGATTGAGTTCGACACCCCTAGTCTAAAGGAAGATTTTCAAATATTCCATGTAACCTTTTATATATAGGGTTCTGTAACAAGTGACATGGGTACTATATGAGAAATAGTCACTGACCTGTTAAGCTCCTAATAGCATTATCCTATCTAATAAAGAGGAAATATGCTAATTGATCCTCACACTGTTGCAAAGATGGTGGCACACACAGCCAATAAGGAGGGAATATGCTAATTACCACCCTGCCCTCAAAGATGGTGGCACCCACAACCAATAAGGAGAGAATATGCTAATTGACTGCCCTGCCCTCAAGATGGCAGCACCCACAGCCACAAGATGGTGGCATCCAGTCCCCTCAACCCTGCCGGTGCTGCAGGCATGCAGCAAGGCCTCCTCCAAAGTTCCCCCCTCAGTCTCCCAGCTGCCCAGGGCTGGCCCGAGGCGCAGGCAAGCCTCAGATGGTGGCTTCCCAGCTGCCCAAGGTCAGCCTGAGGCCCAGGCAAACCTCAGATGGTAGCTAGCCAGCCGTCCAGGGCCACCCGAGATTCAGATAACCAGGGCCAGCCAAAGCTTGCACTGCCGGAAGTGGCAGCAGCAAAGGTGTGATGGGGCATCCCTTTCCCTGATCACCAGGTCACCTCCTGCCCCTGAAGGCTCCTGGACTGTGAGAGGGGGCAGACTGGGCTGAGGGACCCTGCTTCCAGCGTATGAATTATTGTAGTTATAGATAAGATAGATTAATGATCTTCCTAATTTAGAGTGATGTTATCAAACAAAATAGTAATTTTAGATTTCTTAAAATGTACTTTTTTCTCTAGCCAATAGATCTCATCATATTAATCTCCTAAAGCAATTTTGAATTTGGTTATCTTACATTAGCCAAGTTTTTTCAATTGTTCCAACTCTTTTAAAATTTTTTTAGGTCTCCACTGATTTGGAGAACGTTGACACAGAAGTTA